TATACTGTCTTATATAATACAGTAATGTGATGTTCACTTAGTCGTGATACTATCTCTTCTCCTCAAACTCTTTTTTCTTAATTCGAGAAAAAACATAATCTACATTGTATCTCAATCACTGGACGATCAATCCCAGGGGGATTTGATCCGACCTCTTCCATATAGGTTAAAATCATCAAGCAAATGCTTTGATTAACAATATCGGATAGGTCAGGATATCCAAGGAGGATATCTCTCGCATTCACTTAAATAAAAAAGGCCACCAAAATATTTCTCATTGAAATAAAATTGAATCAATTTTATATGCATGTAAAAAAAGAGAAATATCAATAATTTCTTTATATATCACTGAACATCGAGTACATCATATGAAAGCATCAATATCAAACACACATAATCACTAGAAAGAAAATAAAGTCGTATAAAACAACATCAAAGCCATTCTACAGGATCTCAATATCATCCTCTTCCTCCTCCATGAAAAAAGCCTTCTACAACCCACTCTCTAATTCGTCACCACTAGAGTCTGAAGAAGGATCACCATAAGCCTGGCTAGGAGTCAACCCCTCGATCTCCGCTCCAGTCTTACGCTGCACTGCACGCACGCCCTTCATAAAACCTTTGATGAAGCCATCTTCCATACACTCAGCCTCCAAAGCCTTCACCTCCACATCATAAATGATTGCGAGCTTCCTGAACGTGATCCTCAACAATTATCTTGAAGTCAAAAGTTTTCTTAAATTCTTCTATGACTATAGACGACAACTGTTGGGTTTCCTTATCTGACAGCATACTCTGGAGTCTCTTATTCTCAATTTCAAAGATTTATTGAACTCTTATCTGTTGGTTAATCATCGCTTGTGCATCCACCAACTCTATAAGTAGGCGAACCATCTATTCATTCTGTGAGGAGGCTGAAGTTATCCTGTTTGTCAGCTCTGCTCTACACTCTGCCAACTGTTCCTCCATCTCCTTCATTTCCTTGTCTTTATCATCGTATTTCTTCTTATATTCTCCTTAGAGATATTTAACCTTTACAAATTCGTTGTTCAAGTCATTCAAAGTCTTGGTCATCTCAAGTTTGAAATTTGTGTGCTGCTCTAACTAAACAACAAAAATATAGTTATAAGAGATATATCTTTTGAAACAAATACAAAATGAGAGAAGGAAAGGTGAACTCACCAACTCCTCAGCTAGTCGACGGCCAACGCACTGATATTTCAAAACATCTTCTGGAATGATTGACTTGGATGGAGAGATATGAGGACCTTTGATAACGACTACTAAAATTGTATCCGTCTTCTTCTTCTTTAATGCCTGCAAATCTCCCTCATTCCCTCGTCGCTTAGAATGAATTTTTTAAGGTTGGGGAACTACCTCTAGAACTTTCACAGACTTCTTTAACATTTGGGCATGCGATCTTTCTGCTTGAGTAGATAGTCTCACCTTGAACAAATAATCCTCGTCTATATATGTGCTCAAATAACGAACCTCATAATGTAGGACGTCAATATCAGGAAGTTTGAGTATCTTCAAAAAATCTTCTACTCCAATATGAAGGGGAATGTGTAATTCCTTCAACTTTCTCCATTTTGCTTGAAGATTCCAGTCATTTTGCACAAAAAAGAAGTCGCTAATCCAACTTTTCGACGGGTCTCGAGTATGAATATCCAACCACTTGGATCTGAAAGAGATACAATCCTGCGTATCACTAATGAGACTCCCCATCTGAGAAAGACATTTTGAAGATAGCACCACTCCACGATCTCTGAAAAGTACGACAGACACATTATGATCGACATGACCCTATAAGAAAGTTGAGATAAACTCACTATGCATATTATCAAAATATCAATCAATTCAGGAGATGGTGAAAACTGTAGCCCCGCTCGCAAACTGAACTCATACTCTGTCTCATATCCCAGGGGAGGATAATGGGCACGATCAGATCTTCTCGATACCTTCATCACCAGATCATTAGGAAAGTGAATTTTTTTCCTAAAATAGATGAAAGAATCTTCAGTGATGGTGGAGATAACATCATCAGTCTTCGGCACCTTATGAGTCCTTATTAAACCCTCAGATCGGGCAACAGGGCGGTCTTCTTTGGGAGGATTTCTTGTGGACGTGTGATCACCCATTTCAACTCCTGTGCTAAAGAGGAGCGTTAAATTTGAGTAGGGAAAGTCACTTACGAAAGATAGCGGAAAGCCTCTAGAGTAGGAAGAAAAATGGGGGAAAGAAGGAAGATAAGGGGGAATCTCCAACTTCTGTACAAGAGGAGGGGCGCTGAGTTAAGTAGGAAAAGTCATCTACTAAGAAACAGTGGAAAGCCTCAACTGTCAAAAAGCCAGAAGGAGAAGAAGAGAATGTGCAGGTTTCTCCCTAGCCCTGAGGGGGGGTATTTATAATTTTTTTGTAGAGGAGAGAAGCTTCCAGAATTTTTTGGATTTTTTTGAATTTTTGAGATTTTTTTAGAATTTTTACGAGTTAAAAAAATGAAAAATGGCTCGCAGTTCGGGGAACCGCCAGCGGCTGGGCCCGAACCAGCACCCTGCCGCCAGCGGCGCAGGCCACAGTGCAGGCCAAGCAGGCCGGTGGCAGGCCAGCGTCATGCGGAGCCAGGCGGGCCGCGGGCTAGTTGCGGTGTGGGCCAGCGGGCCCGGTGTGCGGTTCTGCTCTGCCTGCGGCGGCGGCCAGCTTGGCTGCCCACTCAATTCCGGGTCCAATTTTCACCACAAAAAGACCAAATTAAATGTTTTTAGGGGTCCCCGAGACAATTTTTCGACGTTCCGGACTCAATTTTGACACTTTTAAAGCTATTTGAGGCTTCTGCATGCAAGATTGGATTTCAAATGACATTAAAAATTCTCCAAAGCCTGTGACACATATTTTCAGACTCCTGGAGATTTTTTGTCTGAAAATAGGGGGCAACTAATATATCATCAAAAGATTATCTTGATTGAGCACGAATCTCGAGGCAAAATCAAGCCGAAAACTTCTAAAATTAAATCCAGGGTCACTTGAACTCCAATTTCAGCAAACTTACTGTCAAACTAAGCGTCTCAGAAATACGAACCCAACGACACCAAATTTAACTCAATCCGAGCCCAACTGAATCCAAATCAAGGATCTGAAGTGTTGTTGGAAAGTTTGAACCATAATTTGAGTTACCAAACATGACGTGCTTATAGTCGAATTGAGCGGCTCGACGAGACGAATCCAACAAGCCAAAGATCGCCATATTCCGACATCATTAAGATTTTCAAATATCTGACGACGGTACACGATCAAGGGATTAAATATCGGTCGTCCATCCGAATCACTCCATCTTTGCTTGTGGGTCATGTCATCCTCAAAAAACTATAAATAGCCCCTCATTTTTCTTGAGAGGGGACCCAAGCAAGAAGAAGAAGAAGACAAGAAGCAAGAAGAAGAAGAGAATGATAGGAGGGAATAAACTCCTCCTTGACCACCGCCGGAATTCTACCCGATTGATGCCAGAATTCTGCCCGACGCCCGAGTGACGGTGGAATTCTGCCAGACGCCCAAGTGATGCTGGAATTATACCCATGTGATGCCGGAATTTTGCGCGACGCCCGAGTGACGCCGGAATTCTGCCCGACTCCCAAGTGACGCCGAAATTCTACCCAAGTGACGTCGGAATTCTGCCCGACGCCCAATTGACACCAGAATTCTGCCCGACGCCCAAGTGACGCCGGAACTCTGCCCGATGTCCAAGTGACATCGGAATTCTAAGTGATTCTGAATTCAGCTCGAATCATGGTTTAAAATTGCGCAATATGAGGCTCGCCTTGAGGCCCGCCATTGCACAATTCCAGTAAAAAACGCCTCTATGCTTATGCCTCGAGTTTTTTTTTATGAGGCTTGCGCCTCAACTTGGTTGAGTCCCGCCTCGCCTCATTGGCATAAGGCTTACGCCTCACACTATATATATTAAAACTTACATAAATCTTGAAGTAAATGCCTGACATTGGACTCTATAGGATAGGAGGAAGGGAGAGAGCAATTCATCATAATGATGGTTCAAATGAAGAATCCCTTAGTGATGACAGTGCTGATGACTTATGAGTTCTTATGTGATATGTCATTGCTATTTATTTTTGGAAATTTGAATTATATGTTAATGAAAAGAATACTGGGATTTGGGAAAGATAGAATTTTGAGTTGAACTATATTTCATGTTGTCTTATTATTGGGATATTATGATTTCACTTCATATCTTATGCTTTTTTATGTTTTATATTATTCACTCATTAGCATATAAAAAATTTATCATTTTACGTTTACGCAATCTTTTGATTTTGAGGCTTACGCTTCAAAACGCCTTGAGACTTACGCCTCGCCTCACGAATAAAAAATGCCTCAATACCCGAATACGCAATTTTAAACATTGGCTCGAATACACAACTTTTTTGTAATTGGATTTCAATCCGGAAGTGAAGCATTGTAATCTGATCGTCCTAAATTTTAAGAAAGAGTCAGCCTCTTGTACCTTAAACAAACACTAATGGAATTATTTCAACTGGGTGTGGCCCCATGATTTTTTTCCTTTCCAGGATTTTCCACGTAAAAATCCTAGTGTTATTATTTCTCTTCTGTTTGTGTGCTAGATATCCGTACAACATTGAGACAGAAATTTTCTAACTCTATCGCCGCATATATTCTAGTCCGCGACAATTATAGAACAAGATACTGAAGCTTTAGGTTCTAAATATACTTCAAAAATCCCTTTTTTACCAACCATAGAATGTTTGCAAGGACATTAAGAGAAAAAATAGCAACAACAAAATATTGCATCAATGCTTTATTGTACCAAACTCCAAGAATGAAACGGAGCAGGCGGGATATGACTTGAGTTAAATTGCAGTCTACTTTATAAAGACATTCTACTACAGCATCAGAGTAACTATTTTAAGAAAGGATAAAAATTTCTAAACAAATAGAGAGCAAAATAAAGGGCTATAGATGACGCATACCTGATTAACAAATGTTCGCTGAAAGGGACTCTTATCATCGTTTAACTGTCAATAGAGAGTATGGTAAGAGCACAACAAATACAGATTCACTAAGGGAATCAAGCAGAATAAGAGAAATTATGGAAAATGGAAAGATTTAAAATTTAAGCTAGCACTAGTAAGGTATTAAGTAGTTTAGCTCCCTTTCTGTTATGGCTCCTTCTATAATAGCAGACAAATAATATGTTGAAAAAAGTATCAAGCTAAAAATAGGATCTCATTAAACAGGAATACAAAGTTAAGAGCATCAAATACTAATTTATTTTGAGGTTTACAGCCAAGCATTAAACGTTCAGCATGACAACCAATCCGTGCCAGAAGAGATTTCCCCAGTCCAGAAGATGAGACAGTTTTACACTATTCTAGACTAAAAAACATCCATGGACACATACAGTCAAAGAAAATAGGATTTTACGAGATCAACTAATGAGGCTTTGTCCAGTTGCAAAAATAAAATGGTTGGCATAAGAACGATGCATGTCGAAGTAGACGAACTTCAATACAAGATGTGCCTTTTGGGAAGTTAGGACGAAGAAAGAAGGAAGACAAGACGCCTACGTTGCTCCCTACATGCATCAATAAAAATGAACCAGAAGCATGCGACAAAGGAGCCAATGGCATCCTCAAAGGACACAAAAGATAATATTTCTGAATAATATCAGTGTAGGCTACAATGCATCGTTTATTGAAATCTTGAACGTCATCAAGCTTATAGATAGCAACGGGAAACATGATTGTTGTGTCATAGTACGTGCATTACATCTTTGTGTTAGTCTTATACACAGTCTAAACCTTGAAAAGCTTTGAAGAGGTCTTTAGGTTAAGAAGTTGGTGTACCTGGCACTATAAGGATAGGTGATTGTAGCTCTACACACAACTATGTAAATTTGATACTCATGTCAGATCAAGACAAGTTGTATTGGCTACTCCGCCACATAAAAAAGCATCCTCCCTTAAGGAGGAATTTAATGGAATACTAAGCAAGGGTTCCCATAGACATGTTGTAGGCTAGTTAAATATAATTGTGTTCATCGCTCTATGGAAAGATGTATATACATGCACTATTTACTTGCTAGGTTTGAATCCTTAAATTTTTATATGGTGAATGAATGATAGTGCGTTCATGTGCCAATATAGTAGGGTAATCTTTATATTGGCATAAGATTGTTATACTCTCATTATTAATATTATATCACCACCATCATATATTGTGTAGAGAATTGGATGTTGTGTAGTTTGCTGTTAAATGTGCCAAGTGATCATATAACGTCTTTTTCCGTAGATCAATAATCATTATGCTCACTAATTTATTTACTCACATCACTTTAGCTTTGTCTCAACAACATATAGCCTACACTTATGAGTATTTGATTGGATTGCTCGTCTTCCATTGTCATATTGTGTGTGACTGAGTTGAAGAAGTTGTCTTGATTGATCAAATCATCATAAGTTTGAGCAACTACTTTCTGCTAAACATCAAAATGATAAGCAACACAAAAATTAACATTCAAAGAACAAGAGAAAATGAATAGACACATAACATCAGTTGTAAGAAGGTGACAAATGACCATTTACACAACTATAGAGTGATCGGTCAGAATTAATTTCCCTCACAAAAGACTTCTCTCCCTTGCATTTTATAATTTTGTCATCAACTCCCATGATCACCTTTGCTATGAAACATTTTAAAAATAATACACTAAATGTTAACAACAAAAGGTAAAGCCTACCTGTTGACCAGAAAAGGAACCATGCAACCTTTTTCTAAACCTTAAGCTAAGAACAAACCATGTCCTATAATTCAAGCTACAGATTTTTTTTAATTTATTAAACATTTAAATGTACTTTAAGGTTAAGCCATTTGGTTGACCAGAAAAGGAACCTTGCAACTTTTTTCTAAACCTTATGCTAAGAACAAATGATTTCCTACAATTCAAGCTTCAGATTTTCTTTCTTAAAGTAGCATCTTGGTACATCAAATCATAAAGAGATATCTTGTTATAAAGAAAAAAAAAAATTCTTACAAAAATTATATGGTAATTCTAGGAAAAAAACTTAACCACAGAATAATAATAATGGAAGGAGAAAAGGAGAAATATTAAAAATTAATAAGATAAAACATCCAAGAATTTTCATCAAATTAGATGCATTAATAATGGATATGTCTTAGTTGAAGACAGAGATATTAATACAACAATAACAACAAGCCTTTAGTCCACTATGTGGGGTCAGCTACATGAATCTTTTTTTTTTTTCCTATTGTGTCCGGTTAAGAGTCAAATTCTCAATTAAATCTAATAAGGAAAGTTCATTTCTAATATTTTCTAACCAAGTCTTTTTAGGTCTACCTCTACATTTCTTAACATAAGCCAAATTTAAAACATCTACTCTCCTATCGGGTCATCGGAAGGCCGTTGTTTTATGTGACCAAACCATCTAACGCGACTCTCTCTAATCTTATCTGCCACTGAAGCTACTCCAACATTTTCATGTATATGCTCGTTTCGTATCCTGTCTTTAAGAGTAAAGTCACTCATCCACCTAAGCATATCATATCCGCAACATTTATTTTAATATTATGCTTCACTTTGAATGGCCAACATTTTGCGCCATAAATCATTGTAGGTCTCATCACTATCTTATAGAATTTTCCCTTAAGTTTGGGGTGTACTTTTCTATCACACAACAAGCCCGATGAATTCCTGCACTTCAACAATCCAACTTGAATTATACTAATAATACCCCATCTATTTCACCATCACTTTGAACAAAAAATCCAAGAGATATCTAAAACGTGTACTTTTATTAATAACTAGATCGCCCAATGTCACAATCCCCCTACTAGATCTATTAGTACTAAAATTATACTCCATGTATTCATGTTTAGATCTACTCAAACAAAAATCTTTAGGCTCTAAGGTTGACCTCCATAATTCAAGTTTACTTTCAACTACATCTTTAATCTTATCAACAAGAAGAATATCATTAACAAAAGGCATACATCAGGGTACATCCTCTTGCAAATGTCTAATAAGAACATCCATGACTAAAGAAAAAAGATATGAGCTTAAGGTTGATCCTTAATGTAATCCAACGAAAATAGGAAAATACTTGTTCAAAGCACCTTGTGTTTGAACACAAGTAATATCTCCTGCATATATATCCTTAATGACCTGAATATAAGCTTTATTAACCCTTTTCTTTTCTAGAACTCTCTACAACACTTCTCTTGGAACTTTATTATATGATTTCTCTAAATCAATAAATATCATATGTAGATCCTTCTTATTTTCTTTATACTTCTCCATGAAACCTCTCAATAAATGTATAGCTTCCATAGTAAACCTACTCTGCCTGAATCCAAATTGATTTTGCGAAACATTAGTGTCACATTGTAATCTATGATCCATAACTCTATCCCATAGTTTTAAAGTATGACACATTAACTTAATTCCTCTATAATTTGCACAATCTTGTGCATCACTTTTACTCTTTAAATTAGGAATCAACACAATCATTATTTTCTCATCTAGCATGGTTTTAGTCTTCAAAATAATATTACAAAGTTTAGTAAGCCAAGAAATTCTTTCATCTCCTAAGCATTTCCACACCTTTATTGAAATATATCATTAGGTCTAATAGCTTTTCCACATTTAATTTTATTGTGCATCACCTTTATTTAGGATGCTAAGGTCACTAAAGTCAATTGAATTCTCACAATTTTCATTAAAAGGCTTAGCAAACTATCCATCCATCTTTGTTAAATATATTCTTCTAATAAAAATAGGGTTGCAAATAAATCGAGCATTCTATGAGCTACTCGTGACTTGACTCGATAAGAGCTCGTTCATGTTCATTTGATAAGGTAAACGAATGAGCTTGAACACTTTTGATAAATACTCAACAACTAAATAAACGAGCTTGAACATCTTAACGTTCAGTTTGTTAATGTTCATGAACATTATTGTTTAATGCTCATAAACAAGCTCGTTAAGAAGATCAAATAGAGCTCGAATAAGAAGATCAATTAGAACTATATTAAAGTTTTAAAAAATAAATATGGTAAAATTTAATGGATTAATAATTTATTTTTACTAATCCCATCTAAAATCATTTAATAATTAATTTTTACTTACCGCTTCTGCCTGAAATAACGAACAGTTCACTCTCGAAACAAATATAAAATTAATCATAGATCGTTTGTTTATGAATAAGCTCATTTAGTAGCTTGAAAACACTAATTAGATATGCTCATTAACGGTCTCATTTAATAGATCAAGAATACTCATTAGATATGTTCGTGAACGAGTTTGTTTGATAGTTAAAAAACTTCACTAGATATGTTCACGAACATGCTCGATGTAATTGTTTATTAGAAGGCTCGTTAAGGCTCATTTGTTAAGTTAATGTACATCTAGAAGTAGTGCTCTTTTATTGCTCGATAAGACTAATTTATTTTAAGCTCGATAAACACGAAATGAACCAAACATGAACACCCAATAATTTAAATGAACAAAGCTTGAACACAAACAAAAAAGCTTGAATAAAACTCGAACCGAACTTCAATAAGCTGATTATAAATGAACTCAAACATGAACACGCATATACTCGGCTCAGCTTGGTTCGTTTACTTCTCTAAATAAAAGCACTTTTTGACCTTCATCTTTAATGCATGTCACTTGAACTAAATCCTAATTACTCCTATCTATTTGTTTGGTTAACTTATACATATATTTTTCGCCCTTCTTACAATCTAATCTATTATATAAATCGCCAAAAGTCAAAATCCTAGCATCACGTATTACTTTCTTAGATTCCTTACAAGCCTCCTTATATCTTTCTAAATTTTCAGATTTTTTATATCTAAACTAATTTTTATGACAAAACTTCTAATTTTTTATATTTTCTTGCACATTTCGATTCCACCGCCAACTATTTTTATTATTTAAAGTTTCTTTTGATACTCCAAGTATATCCTTTCCAACATTCTTAATAACACTAGTTAT